ATTTAGTTTATCTAGTAAAACATGCAGGGTTAAAATTACTTTTTACGACATCTACAGTAGTTAATTTATTATTTTCGTTCTCATAAGGTGTTTGAACATACTTGTTATGTTAAATGTTTGTATTCAATTATACAATGACACTCATTTATTAGAAGGCACTTTAGGTAAATTGAGGGATGCATAATCGAAAATTATGGAGGCGTAAACATCTATTTCAATGTAATTTTCTACCAAACTAATGCACCAATTCATTGTCCTAAGTACAATTTTGATTCCCGTCTCAAATTACATGGGATTGAACAAAATGATTTATATTTTACTTCGAAACAAATATAGCGGTGCTACAAGAACGAGTTACAAAATTGCATAATTTGGTTCGATCTACATAGATATAAGGCTTTTTTTAGTACGAAACATATGAAACCAATATGCATGGAGCCCTAATATGGGACATGTCATTAGTGGGACCGACTTTTTCAATATAGTTCAATGAAATAATTCATAGCGATATCAATATCTGATATTGTCTAGTATAATCTAAGACTTGTCCATAGCATCATCGACTTTGTCAGTACTTATTGAAATAAGGTCTATCATGGGAGATCATTAATCATTTTCAAAAGAATGTTAAGAAGACTTATCTTTATTCCTCCTACTAAGCATTATGATCATGACAAAGAATTATAATTGAAGCCTTCCTAAATTCAATACTTGGGTGGTTGTGTTCGATGATGTTTTTATTCTAGTATTCCATTTCTAAAATTAGTATTATTTTAGGATCCAACGTTGCCTTATGAGTTGATTTTGGTAACTTACTTTATTCAAGGATTATACATTGAAGTTGGTTTTTTGTATGAGAATATTATTTCTAAGATTAAATTAGGATAAATATTAAATTGAATAGATAATACAACTCAGGTTTGCAAAAAGGGTGAATTTATTGAATAAATTAGGACATTACATTAAATTGCTGAATTTTTTTTGTATCTGTATCGCATTCACGAGGAAATCAACAAGAATTAAATGATTCTTCGTAAATTCAGTGTTTTGTTGTTTTCATCCTTACTTCTGTTAATGTAAATTAAAAATTATTGAAAAACATATTTAGTAATTAAAATTCCCACACCCTTCCAAGAATAGGTAAAATTCATTTTTCATAAGCCTCCAAAACTCTAACAGACCATCCAAAAAATTACTCAGAAAAAGTCAATGAAAAAATAAATTTTATTACAATTTGGTCCAAAAATTCAAATAAATTTTGTCAAGAAAATTAATATAGTGCAAGGATACACTCGAACTGACTCGAACACGTGCTCGTGCCAAGCCGGCCGGACAATGGTGGCACGCGCATGTAGGCTTATGATCAAACCCGATAGGGTATAGATCTCCCCCCTTTCAAAGACTATTGGTATCCCTTGAGACCCAAACTCAATTCCCAAACTTACACTATATAAACCACACCAAAGTTTCATAATTTTCCTATGTGGAATAAGTGTTTAGGCAAATCAAATTCTTCACTAATTTATAATTTCAAGTGGGTTACTTTGACATTAAATATTTCATTCAATTCTAAATGATTTTCGATAAATAAATATATCACGTTCATCACCTTGCGGAGTAGAGCGTGAATATGCTAGGTCCTGTATTAATTAAGATGTGGGTCCCACTGAAATTTGGGTCCAAAGTTGACCCATTTCATACCATTTTCTAACAGTATCCACAGTTTATAAGCAAAGATGTTGACATACTTGCCGACTTCAATTCCTCCTCATATCCATCCAATCCTTACCATAAACCACCTCATTTACTAAGTCTCCACACAATAATTCACCCAAAAAGAAAAAAGAAAAGGGAAAAACTCTCACAGCATCTGAAAGGTTAAGGTGAGCTATATGATATAATTTTGTGTACTTACCAAGCAGACAGACACAAGCTGTTAATTAAGGAAATATCTGCCCACTTCATTAATATTTCCTTATTAATTACTAGGAGACGTCATTCATTAATATTAATCTGGTTGATTAATAATTTCACACATTGACTTGTAAGTAGCCAGCCATATTTTAAATTCTTTCTAAATATCCAAAACTATGACCTCTGGACTCTAACTATCAACCTTTTCACATTATTTTGTTTAAAGCGTTTTGGCTGGCTTTTAAGTATCTTAAAAGTTTTTCTTAATTAAAGTATGTTTCTACATAATTTCATTTAAAAAAAAAAAAAACTTTTTAAGTACGATGAAAAAGCTGAAAATCATATGTAGCCCACCTCCTCAAAAATACTTTAAGTTGCTAGAAAGAATTTATTACGATTTTTTATCATTAGACGGACATGTAATTTTCATGATGAATAGTATTGCTAGAAGTTTAGAAACAGGCCAACTCTAAAAAATATGAGGTTAAATATTTCAATAAATAACATATTTATATTTATCGAAGAATTTGTATGATCCAAAAGATAGAATAACAGAAAAGAACATCTCTCACAACTCGAGAGATTAGACTAGCATAATATTTAGAAAAATTATCCCGTTAATGGAGAAAATATTATCAGTGTAAATAATAATCTTTACAGATTATTAATTGGAAAGACTTGAGTAAAGTTCATTTTAGCGAATTCCAAAAAGTTTAATACCTATAGTGAAAACCATGAAAAACAAAATTCTAAAACATTGAAATTGTGAAAATATTGTAAGGATTACGTGAAAAGAGGAGTGATTTTCAAAGATTAAACCCGAGATGTGGTCATAAAAAGTGTAAAATTGAGGGATATTGAGAAATATATATTTTTAGACTATAAGGTGATGAGTTAAGATGGCGATGAGAAAGATCACTGGATACCGAGGATTATGATTTGAGTACCTTTTGACAATTTTGAGGCCTTGATGAACAAAAGTGAAAATAAGTTTCGAGGTCAATAATTTATTTGGGCCAAATGTGTATTAATTGGGGATTGAGAATTACCATATCAACATTGGATTTATTTCGAAACTCATAATAAATGACATTTTATGGATTCGAGAAAAAATTAATTTGGAAAATCAAATTTGAGCTTAACTCATTCAAGTAAACTACTTGATAGGTAATACTAGTTTTCAAATTAAACCAATTATCATAACAACGTTGAGCTCATATGACAGCTCATAATTAATCATATATATTAGACTTAATAAAAGTTATTTTGAATAAACTTGAACTAAGTTAGAGTCAACCAAAGAAAACTATGCTTAAATGAATTTTTAAAGGAATTAATCCATTTTTTTAGTAATTATTAATTTAGTTTGGACTTTAATTGGAAAAGTCTACTATGTAGATTTATTTACTTAAATTTTTTTTTTCTTTTTTTTGAGGTACCTCAAAATTTGAGGTCCTAAGCTATTGTCTAGGTGTAGGTGGCTTTGGCCTGGACGGACCTACGTAGAAATAATTTATTATGTATTATGTTAGGCTTAGACAAAACTTACACCACGTGTAATTTTTGTCAATGAGTAGTATTAAAATTTAAATAATAGGCTTTTATTTGGTGAAAGTACCCATTAACATTTCTTCCTAAACTTTATTGCAAAGCTAATTGCCGAAATGCAAAATTACCAGTACTTTTAAGCTAGTGTGCTAGTCTTCGATGCATTCAGAAATGCCCATTAACATTTCTTCCTAAACTTTATTGCAAAGCTAATTGCCGAAATGCAAAATTACCAGTACTTTTAAGCTAGTGTGCTAGTCTTCGATGCATTCAGAAATGCAAAATTACATTGTATAGCTATCTCACTGGGTACAAGATGAAGTATGTTAATTTGCAGTTAATTGGTACCCCTTAATTAAAGGATTAAATTAGTATGTGAATGATAGTCTATGTCAAGCACATTATTATTGTTGTTGGTGGTGGTAGTTGATATAGGTTGGTAGAAGGAGACACCCCCAAGGACGAGCAAGGGAGATCACAGCACACCGATGCAAGGTCATCGACCTTCATAGGGCGTTCTACCACTACACCCAGGGAGCGCTCTACCACTACATCTAGGGAGCACTCTACCACGACCCCCAAAGGGCGTTCTACCATTACACCCAGGGAGCGTTCTACCACTACGTCTAGGGAGCGCTCTACCACTACGTCTAGGGAGCGCTCTACCACAACCCCCAAAGGGCGCTCTACCGCTATCCCAAGAAATCATTCTACGACTAAGCGAAATCCTCAACGGGAATGATATCCCTTGTCCAAACACTTAGCCATAAAACCTTTAACGAATCGACAAGGTTACATGGCCGCTGATACAGGTACAATCTTCAGACGGGAAGTTAAGGACTCATCACTCAGAACGTGGGTGTAGTGGGAATATCATCGTGGGACACGTGGCACCACAATCGCCCAGCGGTTACCTAGTGTCTAATATCTATAAATACCCCCGGATGAGACACAGGTAAGGGAGGATTTTTTTTGAGCTCCCATTCTCGTTTTTAGCCATCTGATTTTCAAATATATTCTTTCCAAGTCTGAAAACTAATTCTCACGCCGAAGGTAAAACGGGGGAGAAAGCCCGCCTTCATTTTTCAGGTCTTGCATACTTGACGGAGTGGTGGAAACGCCAAACATTACCGGGTAAACAGAAGGGTGTTGAATCACCGCCTTTCATTGGCGCCGTCTGTGGAAACATCCGTTTGAACTAAAAAGCCATGTCAAGAAGACGAACAAGAAGTGATACTTGCCTGGTTGGGAATACGGCGGAGACGGAGTCGGAGTCAGTTGCAAGGGGTCATGAACCACCACCGCCCTCGCAGTATGTGACGCAGAGTCAATTCAGCGCTTTGGAAAACCAATTGGCAGCAATGATGGTACTTTTACAAGACCAGTCGCAGAGAACCACCATCCCTCATTTAAGCCCGACGGAAGTGACGAATCAACAACCGCCTCAAGCGCCACCCGCGGTTGTCTCACCCACCTCTCAGCGGGGAGCGGGAGACGCGGAAGCCCCAATGACCGGAGCTCAACAGCCCCCGTAAACCATGGTAGACCTGGAACGAAAGATGGAAGAAATCATGTCACAAAAGATAGACGATGCATTGTCCAAAAGGAAGGATAGGCGGAGACAGATGGTTTTGGAGGAAGACCCGTTCGCCCCAGAAATCATGGCGGTCCCTTTGCCTAAAGGCTTCAAACAGCCCATGATTGAAGCCTATGATGGAGTCACGGACCCGCTTGACCATCTACGAACTTTCGTGGATCTGATGAGACTTTATGCTGCCCCGAACGTCGTGATGTGCCGATCTTTTCCCCCCACGCTCAGGAGGGAGGCTAGGGACTGGGTAGCAACCTTGGCCCCACGCTCCATCAAGTCATTTGATGAGCTCTCCAGGAGCTTTGTGGCTTATTTCCTAAGCAGCAAGAGGAAGAGGAAGACAGCCATTGGGTTGATGCAGGTCGTACAGGACAAAGACGAGTCATTGCAGGAATACTTAGCCAGGTTCAGCCGGGCGACTCTTGGCATTAGAGACCTGCAAATGTCCGCAGTGGTTACAGCATTGATGAATGGAACGCGAAATCGGGCCTTTAAGATGTCACTCTCCAAGAACCCCCCGGAGTCGATGCATGACCTATTAAAGAAGGGAGACAAGTATGTCGATGCGGAGGAAGCGGAGAAGGTAACTAAAAATCTCAGGGATGGAAGGGAGACGGAAGCTAATAAGCGAAAAACATATGACGAGCAAAAGCACAATGATAGAAATAAGCAGAAGAGTAAACGCACGAGCAAGGGTTATGTCCAAGACCGATCAGTCAGGCAAAAATGAGAGGAGGTCAAGACACCCACCCCTTTGAACATTCCACGAACAAAGTTATTGATGGAGATACAGCACATGAAGGAGCTCGAATGGCCCAAACCAATGCTAACCCCTTCGGGCAAGAGAAATCAAAGTAAATACTGCCATTTTCATAGAGATCACGGGCATGATACCGAAAAATGCCTACAGTTAAAGGAAGAGCGCCTGCTGAGACGGGGGCTATTGGCAAAGTATGTGAAAAACGATAAGAGCAGGCAAAGGGTCGAAGGTAAACCCCCACCAAGAGCAGGAGTGATAAACATGATCATCAGAGGAGTAGCATCGGGCGGCGACTCAAATTCAGCTAGGAAGATTTATGCGCGCTCATTAAGGGTCTACTCTATACAGAAAAAAGCAAGATTCAACCAGAGTATAACTTTCGATGAAGAGGACTTGATTGGTGTAACTCACCCCCATGATGACGCCTTAGTAATAGTAGGCGATATTGAGGATTTTGACGTGAAGAGGGTATTAGTCGATGGAGGGAGTGCGGCAAATGTCCTGACCTGGGATGCCTTCTTGGGTCTAAAAATCCCTTAAGAAAGGTTGAAGGTGGTGACTACCCCCTACAAGGCTTTGGAGGGGCAACAGTGATACCGGAAGGGACTGTAGAGCTTTCAGTCACGCTTGGGACATACCCAGCGACAGTGGTGATCGTGACTAATTTCTTGGTTGTCAAGACCCCCATGGCTTACAACGCTATCTACGGCCGGCCATTGCTAAATGCAGTTGGCGCGGTCTCGTCGACATACCATCAAATTATGAAGTTCCCAACCAGCAGGGGGATCGGGAGCGTGCGAGGAGACCAGTATGCATCAAGAAAGTGCTATGTGGATAGTATACAAGCCAAAAGCCCACCATCAGTCATGATGCTGGATGTAGAACTCCCGAGGGAGCGGATCGAGCCGCTTGATATGATTGAAAAAATCTTTATTGACGAAGGAAAGGAGTTTCTTGTTGGAACAGGTCTGGGATCCGAAGAGAAGGAAAAATTGGCGAAGTGTCTAGCCGAAAATTTGGATGTCTTCGCTTGGAACCCAAAGGATATCCCGGGGATTAGCTCAACTGTCGCGCAGCACCGCCTCGGTGTCCAGCCAGGGGCTAAGCCAGTGAAGCAGAAAAAGAGAAACCTTACACCTGAGAGGCAGGCTGCGGCCAGAGCAGAGGTAGAAAAATTGCTACAGGCGGGTTTTATCCGAGAGGTGCAATACCCCGAGTGGTTGGCAAATGTTGTACTTGTGAAGAAGTCAAATGGAAAATGGCGCATGTGTGTAGACTATACTGGGTTGAACAAGGTATGCCCAAAAGACTCATACCCACTTCCCAGAATAGATCAACTGGTGGACGCAACGTCGGGTCATGAAAGGCTCAACTTTCTAGATGCGTTTTCGGGGTATCATCAAATTTCAATGGCCAAGGCCGATCAAGAGAAGACGTCATTTATCACGGACTTCGGTACGTACTGTTACACAGCCATGCCATTTGGCTTGAAAAATGCAGGAGCGACGTATCAGAGGATGGTGAACAACGTCTTTCGTAGGCTAATCGGGGATGTGGTAGAAGTCTATGTTGACGATATGGTGGTCAAGAGTGCCAGAGCCAATGACCATGTGGCCTGTTTGCAAAAAGTGTTTGACGTTGCCCGACAAAGCAGATTAAGGTTCAATCCAGAGAAGTGTGTTTTTGGTACCGCAGGTGGAAAATTTCTAGGTTTCATGATCACGCAAAGGGGCATCGAAGTGAACCCGGACAAAATTCGGGCAATCCTAGAAATGAAAAGCCCCACCAGCAGGAAGGAGGTTCAGAGGCTGACGGGGCGGGTAGCGACCTTAAATCGTTTCATGAGCCGGGCGGCGGACAAATGCTACCACTTCTTCAAAGCCATAGGGGGCTCCTCCAATTTTGAGTGGACCCAGGAATGCGAAGAGTCTCTTAGGAACTTGAAGCAGTCATTACAAGAGCCCCTGGTCTTGACCAGCCCATCTCTTGGGGACGTGTTGTGTCTCTACTTGGCAGTATCACCAAAGGCAGTCAGCGCGGTCCTGGTGAAAGAGTTCTCGAAGGCGCAGAAACCAGTCTACTATGTGAGCCAAGTATTGAGGGGTGCAGAAATAAGATACAGCCTGACTGAACAGCTGGTGTTTGCATTAATTGTCGCGGTCAGGAAATTGAGGCCTTACTTTTAGTCTCACACGGTGCAAGTAATGACTGACCAACCTATCAAGCAGATTGTACATCGGCCCGAGACCTCTGGGAGGCTGTTAAAATGGGCCATCGAGTTAAGCGAGTTTGATATCGAATTCAGGCCAAGGATAGCTATTAAGGCACAGCCTTTAGCAGACTTCATCGTTGAGCTCACCACCCCGCCCGAGCTCCCACCAGGGGAGCAGGCAGATTGGAAATTTATTGACAATGGATCTTCAAATGACGAAGGATCCGGGGCGGGGATCATAATGATAGGTCCGAATGAAGAAGAGTTGGAATACTCACTGCACTTTGAATTCCCAGCAACAAATAACGAGGCTGAGTACGAAGCAGTAATCACGAGTTTGGGATTGGCAACCAGACTCGGGGTCACCTCAGTGGAAGTTTACAGTGACTCTCAGTTGATAATCGGGCAAGTGACGGGGGAATTCGAAGCAAAGGACGGAAAGATGGCTGCATATTTAATGGAGGTCAAAAACTTGCAGAGGGGGTTCACTAAGTTTAAGATAACTAAGGTCCCTCGAAAGGACAATGAGCGAGCGGACGCGCTGGCTAAGCTCGCATCAGCCAACCCCAGACGACTGCCTCGCACAGCCAGTGTGCAAATTCTGCGACAACCTAGCATCCAACACGTAATCGATGTTATGAATGTAGAAAATGAGGAAAGTTGGATAGACCCGCTGTTTGAGTATCTCACAAAGAATAAATTGCCGGAGGATGCTCTCACGGCCAGAAGGCTAAAAGTTTAGGCAGCCTCGTTTGCCATCATCGATGGGCAACTCTACAAGCGAGGCTTCACAATACCATATTTGAAGTGTTTGCGACCGACAGAAGCACAGGAGGTGCTAGTCGAAGTACATGCGGGAATTTGTGGCAACCACCAAGGGGCGACTACCCTTGCGTTCAAAACGCTTCGACAAGGATATTATTGGCCCAGTATTAAGGAAGATGCTAGAGAGTTGGTGAGAAAATGCGATGCATGCCAACGCCATGGAAATCTGATCCACATTCCGGCCGAGCAACAGACGACAGTTTTCGGGGTGTGTCCCTTCTTCCAATGGGGGATGGATATCTTGGGACCTTTGCCCCTGTCAAAAGGACAGAGGAAGTTCTTGTTAGTTGCCGTCGACTACTTTACTAAGTGGGTGGAAGCTGAGCCTTTGGCCACCATCACGACTGCAAAGATACAGGGATTCGTCTGGAAAAATATCATATGCAGGTTTGGTATACCTCGGGTAATCATTACAGATAATGGAAAACAATCCGATAATCACAGTTTTAGAGCCTTCTGCACCAGCTACCACATCGACCACAGGCTGACTTCAGTTGCTCACCCGCAGGCAAATGGGCAAGCAGAACTGACCAACCGAACCATACTGTGGGATTTGAAGACAAGATTAGAAAAAGAAAAAGGACTTTGGGCTGAGGAGTTGCCCAATGTACTGTGGGCATATCACACTACCCTCCGAGAGTCGACCGAGGAGACGCCATTCAAACTGGCCTTTGGGATGGAAGCCGCGGTTCCGGTTGAGATCTTAAGTGAGACAGGAAGGATGAAAGTCAAGCAACCCGACGACGCAGCAACTAGGGGAGAACTCGACCTCCTCGAAGGGGTAAGGGACAAGGCGGCGATAAGAATGATGGCTTATAAACGAAGAGCCGCTGAGTACTTCAACCGGAGAGTGAAGCCAAGGGTCTTCCAGCCAGGAGATCTCGTTCTAAGAGATGCAGCAGCGGCAGGACACCCCCCACCAAAGCTTGGTCCAAACTGGGAAGGCCCGTACGAAGTGATTCGCAGGCTGGGAAAGGAAGCTTACAGCTTGAAAGATATAAAAGGAAGGCCGTTAGGTAGACCATGGAATGCAGAACACCTTAAAAAGTATTACCAGTAGAACTCAAAATGTACACGCCGGCTGCGCTTTTGTAAATATAGTAGATTAGGTTGCATTGCTTATTTTCTCTATGTAATGCCTCACAAAGGCACCCTTAGTTGTAACAATTTATCTTATTCAATGAAAGACCTTGGCGGTGACGGATGATGAGGGCGCTACGGAAGGGCCAGCCTAGCTGGGACGTCCCGGTGCGCCTACTGAGCTCACAAGACCAGGAATTTTTTATGTCAACAGGCAACTTTGAAATCCACGCCCACCCCACTAAGACATGCAGTCGACATAGCCTACGCGGCTAGGTGGAGAGCCTTGAAAAGTCAAAAAATTGGCTAAGGCCCTTAACCACCAAATCACCCCCTGCGGTCGACATAACCTATGCGGCTAGGTGGAGAGCCTTGGAAAGTCAAAAAATTGGCTAAGGCCATTAACTATCAAATCACCCCCTGCAGTCGACATAGCCTATGCGGCTAGGTGGAGAGCCTTGAAAAGTCAAAAAATTGGCTAAGGCCCTTAACCACCAAATCACCCCCCTGCGGTCGACATAGCCTGCGCGGCTAGGTGGAGAGCCTTGAAAAGTCAAAAAATTGGCTAAGGCCCTTAACCACCAAATCGCCCCTGCGGTCGACATAGCCTACGCGGCTAGGTGGAGAGCCTTGAAAAGTCAAAAAATTGGCTAAGGCCCTTAACCACCAAATCGCCCCCTGTGGTCTACATAACCTACGCGGTTAGGTGGAGAGCCTTGGAAAGTCAAAAAATTGGCTAAGGCCCTTAACCACCAAATCGCCCCCTGCGGTCGACATAACCTACGCTATATATATATATATATATGAACACTCCCCCGCACCATCAAGCAGTAAAAAGAAAAATAACATGAGAGACGACATTTTAAAGGAACCACGCATCCAGCGCCAATAATATCGAATGAAAGATGTGTTTATACATTCGAAGAATTCTTGCCCACATCCCGAGCAAGTAGGAGATAACAAGGCTAAGCAAAAGTAAACACTAAAAAGGAAAAACTAGCAAGGAAAACAACAACTAAGAAATGCTTCAGCTCGAAGGGGAGACATCCCCACTACCCCCTTGTGATGAACGACCGAGTGATCTGGATGACTGAGCTACGCTCTCCTTCCCCTTACGCTGTGCGAGAAATCTATCCAAGCCGGAGGGGTCTATAGAAGGATATTCGGCCATAATCCACTCCTTGGAGAGCTTAATTGATGCTGACATCGCCTTCCCCCCGTATGAGTTCAAAGCCTTAGCATAATCGGACGATGTCTTATACTGATCCACAGCCGCCTTGAGATCTCCAGCGTACTCACCTGAGGCCTTATACCTCTCAACCGCCTCTTCAGGAGCACGAGCCAAAACAGAGCGTAGGTTGTCGATCTCCGTCTCTTGCTCACGAGCTCGAGCGTTCGACATCTCCAGAGATTTCCTCAAGGAGGATATTTTCTTCTTGTGGTGATGAGCCTCCTTTTTCTTTTCTTCAGTAAGAGTTTTCAGCTCTGAGACTAGGCGGCGATTCGACTCAGTGAGTCCGGTCTGGAGGGCCACCACCTAAAAAAATAAAAAAATAAAAAAAAATGTATAAGGGGAAAAAGAGTGAAACCACGAGTTAAGGTCTAACTTAAAAAGCGAGATCCAACATGAAAAAAAAATCTCGAAATGGGAAACATACCCTCTGAAGGTAAACAGCCGCAGCCCTTTCTATGTCATCTGCGCTGCGCCCTGCAATCGCTCTGGATCGAGCGGGGGTCACCAACGACTTAAGCACCCCCATCTCATGATAGCCCCGAGTGGGAGGAAACCCAAAGCTAGGGGTGAATATGAAAGCTTACGAGGGTAAGGCCCTCATCTCCTCCTGGCAGAGTCCTCAATACCTCATCAAGATCAAAGTCCATACCTGAAACAAACATCCAAGCTCATTAGTCTCGACGAGCTAAAGGCAAAAATAATAAATGAACGTATGTGCATGCTATAAAAAAAAAAAAGAAAAAGAAAAACAACATAAACGACCTACCAATTGGACGACTCATCCCCACTTTCAACATGTTCTTCATGGTAAGGACTGACCCTAAGTCAGGTGCAAAGGGCGGAACATCAACCAAGTCCTGGATTTGAGCTTCTAGAAAGGGAGTAGCTTCTACTTGGCTATTGAAGAGACGAATTTGGGGGTGTCGCCAGTTTGTGTTAAAAGAAAACTGACCCTTTGAAGGCCCGACGAAGAAAAATCGGGACTTCCATCCGCTATTCGAATTCCTAAACTTAGGGAATTGCATAGGTACCCTAGTGGTAAAATAGACAAAGGCATTACATTGAACTAGCTCATGCATTTCGAAGATACACCTGAAAAGATCTATGGAAGGTGAAATTCCCTTTTTGAGACAGACGTACAGAAAATATAACGCTTTTCTCTTTCCTGAATTAATATAGTCCTAGAAATATGGGATGGCCTAACAAAAAACATAAAATTAGATCGATCACGATAGCTAGTATTCCAACAGTGCATGTTTTTTGGTCCTCTCATACGTACGTGCCTGACAAGGTTAGCTCCCAAGAGATTTCTGAATCGACAAGAGAGAATGAATATTGGAAGTTCACCACATTGCTGTCGTGCCCAAAATATTGAATATCAACCAAATTATCTTACAATATCCTGGTATTAGCCTTAGTACGACTTAAAAAGATGAACAACCCAATTCTTGAAACATAAAGCCCTAGATGGTCATGAGTTGACATCAATGAGCCAAACCTACTTCTCCTGGGATATAAGCTCTCGGGATACCAAATTTAAGCCCTCATAGGAAATGGCAAAGGGGCGAAGCGTTCATGAGTTGACAGCAACATGACAAACCTAATTCTCTTGGGATATAAACTCTTGGAATACCATATCTACGTCCTCATAGGGATGGGAACAGGGTGAGGCGGGGGAATTTCCCATCCCATTACCCGTTTAAGGTAGGTCAAGGATGTTGCCCTGTTTAAGTACCCATTTATTTTAGTTTTTTATAATTCATTTTATTGTCCCCATTAATTAAAATGAGACGAAAATATAGTTATTAAAATTTTTTAATTAATTAATTAATTTTTAAAAGTTAAATTATTCTAATATATTTGGTAAATTAATGCTTTTATTGTTTAACATATTTTTTAGATAATTTTAGTTGCCATATTCTATTAGAATTAATGAATTTTCGTGAAATTTTTTATTTAAAATATTAAATTCTTAAATAATAATAATAATAAATAAACGGGACGGAGCGGGGTCCATATTTCCCATACCCAATTATGCGGAAAATCTCCACCACATTTTGGAGTGGGGTCCGCGAATACTGGATTTGACATAATATTTGGCCATCCTGTGCGCTCAAGGGCGGTAGGTAAATCCAGCAATTAACAAGATACTGGATCCCTTTGAATGGCAATGAATCCTCTGGGATATACGATAAGGCTACCACTATTCATAGTCAGATGCGGCGAAATGGATTCCATTGATTAAAAAATGTGCAAAATGCAATAATGCAACCGTTGGGAAACTCAAGTAGCTCATCAAAAGCTAAGTAGAAAATGAAAATGTCAACTCCATAACACTATATAAACAACACCTGTCTAAACCTTCTCCAGACAAGGAAAAAATATATACTTACATCATAATTCCTCTTCAAATTCTCTATTATTCCAAGAATATTCAAGGGTAGAAAATGGCTGATATTGAGGGCTCCCCAGGAAGCTCCATGCACGGAGTCACGGGCCGAGAACCTGTTCTCGCCTTCTCCGTGGCTTCGCCAATAGTCCCAACTGATACCTCGGCGAAATTTGACCTACCTGTGGATTCAGAACATAAAGCCAAGAAATTTAAGCTCTTTTCCTTTGCCAATCCTCACATGAGAACATTCCATCTTTCCTGGATTTCGTTTTTCACTTGTTTTGTGTCCACTTTTGCGGCTGCCCCGCTTGTTCCGATTATCCGGGACAATCTGAATCTCAAGAAAATTGATATCGGAAATGCCGGGGTGGCTTCTGTTTCAGGAAGTATATTTTCCAGGCTTGTAATGGGGGCTGTTTGTGATATGCTCGGGCCACGATACGGCTGCGCGTTTGTCATCATGCTCTCGGCTCCGACGGTTTTCTGCATGTCTTTTGTGTCTGATGCCGCCGGATATATCGCTGTCAGGTTTATGATTGGATTTTCCCTGGCGACGTTTGTCTCGTGCCAGTACTGGATGAGCACAATGTTTAATACTAAGATTATTGGGCTTGTCAATGGAACAGCAGCTGGATGGGGGAACATGGGTGGCGGGGCCACCCAGCTTCTCATGCCGCTGCTATACGAGATAATTCGTAAGGCTGGAGCAACTCCGTTCACGGCCTGGAGGATTGCGTTCTTCATTCCTGGATGGCTTCATGTAATTATGGGTATTTTGGTTTTGACTCTTGGCCAAGATTTGCCTGATGGAAATCTTGGTGCTCTACAGAAAAAGGGCGATGTTGCGAAAGATAAATTCAGTAAGGTCAGTGATAATAGTCCTCCCTCTTTCCCTGTATCACTTCTTTTTAACCTGAGATAATAGTTTGGTACACAATACTAATACGAACAAATTAAAGATCTCTTTCTCTTATTACAATTTATTTAATAATTTATATTACTATCGCATCACTGGATTTGACTAATTGGAAATATGTCTATCTTGAATATTCAGATACTATGGTATGCTGTCACAAATTACAGAACATGGATCTTCGTCCTTCTCTATGGATATTCTATGGGAGTTGAATTATCAACCGATAATGTGATTGCGGAATATTTTTATGACAGGTAAATTCATTTCCCTTTTTACCATACAACAAACCTTTTAAGGTGACATTATATGATGTGTAATATGCAAAAAAAAAAAAAAAGAAAAGAAAAAAAAAGCACAATTAGTCAAACTAAACTGGTAGCTGGATGCCTCATCCCAATAAAATAATTAACAAAAATATCAATCATTTGTTAATTTTTTTAGTGAAGTGGTTAATTGAAGAACACTGGCTAGTAATTAATTGCCTTAAAAATTAAGGATTTTGTTGCATGTGCATTTTTTTTATGTACAAGTAGAAAAATCCATAAATTAAATCCCAAGTCAAGTGCCAACATCTTCTTAAAACTATTGTTTCTCTAAATTCATTTTCAATTGTACATTTTTCCGCAATTAAAAAATTTCAGAACGTGGACATATAATTTTTTTCTTATTTTTTAACCACACGACTAATTAAAATCACTTTTCACATAATCTATTTTCAGAAAATCTACCTCAAACATGCTCCAAATATACAATTTGAACTTTTTCTGTTGAATGTTTCTTCACATTTTGGTGAACTTTTCCAATTTTACGGAATAATAAAAAAAACTCTGTAACAAAGCGTTTTAATAGTTCTGAAAGAACTTGTCCTCTAGCCTTTTTGATGTTTTGGTGCATCGTAGCAACCAGTAGAACATAATATTAACACTGATTTCCGCATGGTGTACAGATTTGATCTAAAGCTTCATACTGCTGGAATCATAGCAGCCACTTTTGGTATGGCTAATCTCTTAGCTCGACCATTTGGTGGATTTGCTTCAGATTTTTCTGCAAAAAAATTCGGGATGAGAGGAAGACTATGGACACTTTGGATCCTACAAACCCTAGGAGGAGTTTTCTGCATTCTTCTAGGCCGCGCTAATTCGCTTCCCCTTGCCGTCACCAACATGATTATCTTTTCTGTCGGAGCACAAGCCGCCTGCGGTGCAACTTTTGGCATTATTCCTTTCGTTTCTCGACGATCACTCGGCATAATCTCTGGCCTTACAGGTGCCGGAGGGAACTTCGGCTCCGGTTTAACTCAACTGATTTTCTTCACCAGTTCGACATACTCCACTGCAACTGGGTTAACTTACATGGGAATCATGATTTGTGCCTGTACTCTTCCTGTGACCTTGGTGCATTTCCCGCAGTGGGGGAGTATGTTTCTACCACCGACGAAAGATGTTGTCAAGGGGACCGAAGAACATTACTACGCAGCCGAGTGGAACGAAGACGAAAAGAAAAAGGGAATGCACCAGAACAGCCTCAAATTTGCAGAAAACAGCAAGTCGGAAAGAGGCCGGCGTGTCGCCTCTGCCCCAACTCCGCCTAATACAACGCCAAACTATGTTTAAATCAGTTTCTAAGTTGAACATCCCATTCAACTTTTTATTGTGTTCTTTAATTTTAATCAAATGATCCTGATATCAATGTACCAAGTATAAGCAATACTGTAACACTTAAAGGAAATATTAGTTTTCTGAAGAACTCTCTGTTGTTAGATTGTTGAATATGCAAAAAAAAAATAATAATAATAAAAAAAAAATTGAGACTTCTACTTCTTCAATTAGGTTAAATATTGCTAGATAGTGTTGTGACCAATTTTCAAACTTAGTACTCGTTTGATTTAGATTAAAAAAAAAAATCAAGTTGATGGAATATGTGGTTAATTAAAAAGATGTGGATCCACGAAATATGTGGTTAAAATTTAATTATTAACCTAGCTTAGCTTAAATTTTAATCAATTTTTCGCTTAACCAAACGCGAACTTAATTTGATTTCTACGCCATTTTAAGTTTGAAAGTTGTAAAAGATTCTATAATGTCTCTCTCATATTTTCTTAGTTGTCTGTTTAATTGATATTTATTATTACTTAATTGACTTTCTTATTTCTATGGTTAAGCTTGACGCGTACTTTTGAACCTTTTCGTAAACCTCATAATATGAGATTTTTGAATTTTTCATAGTTGTTCTATAGTTTAGAATTCTGAATGTGATGAAATTTAAAGGAAAGGATATTATAGAACCCCAAATTATAATGTCCTAAGAATATTTGTGTTTCAATTGATGTGTAAGAAATTCAAATTAATTGGACTTTCAATATTGACTCATTAAACCCATGTTTGGTTCTCATTATTTTCAAAAAATATTTTTCTCTATCTTATTTTTAATCACACATTCTTCAATAAAATAATATTACATGTAAATTTAAAATTTTTTCTTATTTTTTGATCCCATTTTTTATCAAAATACTATTCCAAAATACATTTTAGGCAAAAAAAAGTGAGGCTCAAAAGAATATTTTAATATCTTATTGATTTATTTCTTCTCTTTTAAAAGTACCTTCTCTATTTTATTAGATCATGTTTACTGTTTTTGGTCTTAAAAGTAACCAAATAACATATAATACTTAAAAATAAAGAAAGAACACCAAAATTTTTCGTCCTGACGGTCAGATGTTCAGTCAAATGGTTTATTCACCATGTTGAGCACTAAATTTACTAGTACAATCAAAATGTTCAAGATTACATACCAATACATAAAGCATCTGTTGACACACTAAAAATGTAGCCCAAATCGAGTAGCCCAAGGAATGAAACCCAATTGGAGAATTTCCAAATCAAATAACCCAAAAAATGAAGCTCAACTGGACAATTCAGGATAAAAGTCCAGATAGGGTTATTAATGAATGCAGTGGAAGCCCACGAATACGGTAACATTATCGCCCAAACTTGCAAGACGCCCAAGATCTGAGCGAATGAAGTGCCTTACAGTCGCCCAGAGCTTTGACCCTGTTCTTACCCAAACCTTCGAATCACCCAGGATATTAGCAAACATAAGATGTTATGGTTATCCAGAAGTGCAGTTATTGAGTAACCTTATCACGTTCCACGATTCAAGGAGTTCAGTTGAAGACGGTTGAACGACAAAGAGTAGTGGTAGCAGTTAGAGACGGTAGTTCCACGACAAGTTAGCCACCATAAAGAAAGTGGATAGTTATAAAACAATCAAATAGTTTCTAAGCGGTTGATCACGAAGAAATCATCAAGGGAATATAAAAGGAAGAGAAAACATAGAGCAAAGGACCCCGAATCAAACACTCTCAAACAGAGAATATGTAATTTCAATTTCTTAGTTTTAAACTTAAACATTTCTTTTCAGTACTCGTGTGCTTGCGCCGCTTAGAGGCATTCTGTTTAATTTCAATTGTAAAGTTATCGCCAATAAAACACCCATTTTTAGGACTTTGTCTCAAGAGGTTTGTTCCTTACACAATCGTCTGATTTTCTTTTTAATTGTTAGCGACTACCCGCGCGAAACAATTTGGCACGCCCAGTGGGACCTTGGTGTTTGGTGTTGAAGATACAAAAGGTGAAATAATATGCCTCAGAAATCTGATAAGGAAGCAAGTCAGGGAAGAGTCCAGTCTGTGATCGAGTGATATGAGGAGTAGCATAGCTCTCCACGAACAGAGGGACAGAGTCAGAGTAGTCATAGTCATTACGAACCAATGACAAAGTTGAGTCCTCAAACCATGTGTGCATTACTTGGAGAACTCACACAGGATGTCGTTGAACAGGTAAATCTGCGAAATATTCATAATATGGAAAGATTTACCTAGAATGGGAATGCACATTATGACAACATGACCAAACAACTGAACACTCTGAA